GAGGAACTATATTTTGTGGCGGAAGGTTTTTTTTAGAAGAAAATGATCATTTTTTCTCTTTCGAAGTATTTAAAGTATGTAAAGTTTGGATTCCTATTTTTCCATGCAGCCTGCACACAGAGTTATTTCGTGCAGTGAACTGTTTTATACGAGTCCTATATTATATATCAAATAAACTGTCATGAATTCTATCATCATATTTCATAAATATAGCAAATATATTGTGTAAATCAAGAAAAAATATCCCTATTTTAAGCTTAAAATTAGCACTATTTTAGTATTTATCTAAAAATTAACATCACAGACCCCCACTTTTTATTTTCTTTTCTGAATGTATAAGATGCCTTTAACCATTATTCTTAAATTCAGTAAAATGTCATTACTTTCAAATGATTTTTTTGCTTGTTAAATTTTTAATGCCAGAAAAATGAAATTTTTTGAGTGCAAAAAGGTCAAATAAATGAACATGCGGAGTAATTTGAAATTTTTTTCCTTGTCACAAATTTTAATGTGTCTATTCAAGATGAAATAAGGCTGTGTTTGTTCTCATAATTTATTTGAATAAAAAATATTTGCGGAAAACTTTAAAAATTGATTGATGTGTAAGATGTATTTACAGTGCAAAAAGGTCAAACTAAATGCTCTGTAGCGCCAAAAGAAGCGCATTGATCCCCATTTTTTTGTTTTGAATTTTAATTAAGCTATGTGTATAAATTCTAAAAATATACTTGATAAAATATTCTCATTACTTTTGATGGCAGGATCCAACCTCCTTAAGTCGAAAACGATGTTTATCTACAAAGACTTGGTTCCAAGAACTCCTCTCAAATTTTTAAAAAGTAGTAGCCAAATCATGTTTTCGGATACGACTGGTAGAGTCCCGTAGATGTGCAGTAAGGTTTCGGAATTTTTCTCTTTTTTTATCTTGCGAATTGGAGGTCAAAAACACGTTTCTTTACAAAAACTTAGTTCCTAGATCGAATTCCTCTTACATTTTACGTTTTCCTAGAAACCCTGGTTCCCAGAACTCCTTAATTATTTTTTTAAAACTCCTGTAACATTTTAAGCAGTAGCTTAATCATATATTTGTTTTTGATTGGTGGTGTCCTGTATAGATTTGCAATAAGGTTTCGGAGTTTTCTTTTTCGTCTTGGGGACGATGTTTATGAAAATTTTAGAATAATACTGTGGCCCCTGGTCACCCAGATATGAAGGGGAGGTATATTAAAAGCTAACTCATACATGATTACAGTACTGTCTAAGACAACATCTATAGTTATGGCCTTGTACACGTATCGAGCAATTTCAATTAAATAAAACAAAGTGGCAAATTATATATTTTTTTTAATTAAAAATTAGGTGGGTTTTGGATTCATGAAGCAGTACCATTTAATTTGGATGTGCAACTGTAATTAGTATTTCAGTACACCAATAATTGAAATATTTAAATTATAATGTTTACAAAACTATGATTATCAATATTTTTAGGTTATTTGTCAAAATTTACTAAGTAGATCGAACGGAGAACTAAAAAAGTGAACGCAGAGGAGACCAAATGGCGAACGAGCAAACGCAGGAAGAGGTACAGAACTTTTAAACAACCACAAACCATGGTATTTATCCATAAGACTCAATTGTGTAAAGAGTAAAATACTACTCCACGCCAACATTCGTGAAAAAATAAAAAAAAATCTTTAATTTGGTTGCTATCGAAATTAATGATTAGTATTTTGAAAGCTTCTTATTCATTTATTTATTTTTGTTTATTTATTCTTACACATCGACGGAGGGGAAAAAAACTCAGCTGAATCTCTTATTTGAATTTGGATTAATTGTGTAGAATTGTTGACATAAGTAGCGGTAAAACTTTAATAAGCAGGCATATATTAGAAAAATATCTATGTTGTCTCAATAAATGCAGTTCTTTGTTTCAAAATCTCTCCTTGGTAAACGAAATTTATACATGAGTTGAGCGGAATTTAAATCTAGGAAGCGATTCTAATGGTAAGAATTACACTATCATTTTTAAGTTAAAAAAATACAATTTTTCCGATTCTTGCATATTTGTCCTTAACTGGACTCTGAAGAATATGTGTAAGACATTATGCATTCTGTATGAGAACAATACTTAGATAGAAATTGTATTATAATAACTTTAATTTTTTTGGTTACAGGATCTAGCAATCAGGGTATCGCTCAGAAATTTAATTCTTTTTCGGTTTTCCTTCTTTTTTCTTGAAGGAATGGGGGGGGGGTTAGAATGGAGGGGGTCAGATTGATTGGTTTGTGAGTCTACTTCGTTTTTATTACCACAGTTACCTTAAACATTCAAAACGTTCCATCTTTTCCTGTTTTATAATTGCATCTATCACATTAGCAAAACATTAGACAGTAAATTTAACGGTTGCCGAGCAATAGATGGCGCACTTTGCATTGTATATTGCGCTTTATTTATTTTACTGGTGTTAAATCTTCGTTAAAGATCTCGGATACACACATACAAAACTTGCTTGCATTACATAAACTTCTTCATGTCAAATAATTAACAAGATGTCTGTGTTTCTTAACAACCGTCTTTGGTCGATGTTCGCGAAGTGAATCACCTTTGATGGGGGCGACGCGTCGATATTTTTTTGGTGGGAATAAAAAGAAAATACATTCCTTAAAGATCCCCTTTATGTCCAATTAATTGAAATTATTGCGCGAGATCGGCATGTCTCCCTGGCATTTAGTACCCTCACCCCGGATATGTCCCGAGGCAAACGTTTGAAGCCTATTTTTTAGTACCTCCCATCTACAAATCTTGCAAAACAAGATGGAATCTTTTGATGTATACTTCGAGTAGTATTCTCTTTATCCATTTATCCCCTATACAGAAATATTGGTTTTCGTAAGGATAATATATACAAATAATGTTTTACATCTTTTCATTAACAAAATTATCAGAGCTAGTTTTAGAATAATTCATTTTCATTTACATTTTTGTTATGTATATTTTTTTTAATTGTGTTTCACTTTTAGAAGGAAAATCTTAATATTGAATTCTAACTATTCTATTGAATGGTGTAACACCATGAAGTTTCATTTTCTGTTTAACCTGTTTCTTTACTGGCTCATAATTCTTAATCACATGTATGGGGATTACTTTAATTACACGTTGTGATGCAAACTGCAAAATGCCATTGCTGATAAGATATTTGTAAAGACTGCATTGACACTAGTTATTCACGATGCCAATTGCAGAGAAAATAATAAGAAGCATGATAAAATAGAGATCACACTCAGTATACGTAATGATAAAAAGATTCCTATTTAACAACATATGGGTGTTGAAAAGAAAAATAAATTCAAAGTTATTGACAATCAATAAATCTTCAAGTCGTTTTTTATCATATGTTCAATGTATATAGCCCATTCGACGTTCAATAAACTTTAACACTTAAATTTGTCAAAACAGAATTAAAATATCCACTCGTTCTTAAAAGTGCATCTACCTAGTGAGTGGGCCAGGTAGAGAGATTTAATACTTTTCGCATTGTGAAAAGTAAAATCAACTTGGTCTTTAATGCCTTGGATTTAACAGGTTGGTGTTCCGATTCAGAGAAACAAAGCATAGAAGTCCACTACAGAAACGTTCACACAAGTAAGAAATTAAATATTTTTAACTTGAAGGATTCGTCGAGTCGAGCAAATGCAAATCGCTCATACATGTAAATATTATTGAAACTATTTGTTCTTGCATTTGAAATATTATTAGTTGTGATATTTAAATGATTTAAAGGATTACTGTCAGCCATCGTAGACATAATGGTAATCGGATACTCGCGCCTTATTTTTTTTCCTGATACCTAAGGTTGTATGACCCCCTTTTAACTTTATATTACATGCATATCATGTATTTTTCTTTAAAAATATCAAACAATGAATGTACACAAAATGATAAAGCCAAAAGTAGGAAAGTTCATCTATCTAAAGAAAGTCCCCTGCTTCTGTGTTTATTTTTTCCATAGTAAGTGGCCCAATCAATGCAAATTAAAGAGCAATATTTCAGAACATTTTATTCCTGTTTTATGTTCAAGAAAGTAATAAACATAAACGAAAACTACTCCAGTTGAACATAAAATAATTCTAGAACACCGAGGTAACCAAATCATCTGTTTCTTAGAAGAGCGACATAACATAGAAATTTTCTCGCCATCTAGTGCTATTGATTTCGGTAGTGCAGTCACTTTGCTGTTTCTGACACGACAACTAAGAGGGGATTTGTCTGAGAAGGTTTGTATTTGATTCCTAGACTTCAATATTTGCACGAACCGTAAGATATTGTAAAACAGCAAAGGACTGCAAAGAAACAAGGCTTTGAGGAAACTGGTATGTATATCTGCGGGGACCTATATATTAGTATAAATTATAACGGTATAAAAAAAGGACTTTTCGTTTTTCATACTTTGCACGAAAAATTGAGTAATTAATTTATTTGTAATTTTAATCAGGGAGAGGCTTGATTGAGTAATCAAGTCAAACATTCCCCTGAATTCCATTAATATTTAAAACACATTGTTTCCCATTGTGATTATTATATGTTCTGTTGCTTGAGCCAATGTGACGCTCCTTGATAATTTCTTATTAATTGTTGGCAGACGATACATCCACAGCTTATTTATTACATCATGTTAAGGAAAATCGGTCCGAAATGAACCTGTCTAATCGAAATAACCCATGAATTAACTTTAAATTAATATTACAAACAATCCCCCAATTCGGTTCAATCAAAATCCTTAAATATCCACAAGTTGCGTAATGAGCATTATATCCTTTAATATCTTTTGTCATTCCCTCGTATACATATCACTTCGTTATAGAAGAGGAAAATAAATTGGATTTTCGATGTATAAAAAGGTAGAGTAAATACTGAGGAAATCGATTGTCCCCAAGGAAGAAAAATGTCTTTATTATCCTGCCAAAAGGACAGAAAAGAAAAATCCCAATTCAGGCAATAGTCTTGCGTAGTTACATACGCGCGTGCATGTACAACATTGAACCCGAAGGATTAAGAAATAGAATGCAGGTTTGCATGGCGTAGATTTCTATATGTTAAGCTGTGTTAATCTAATGACAATAAAGATTAACTGACATAAAAAGCTGATCGGCGATATGGTAAATAATCGCTTTGTGTTCTGTATTGCAGATCATTTAAACTTTCTTTCTGCGAGACTTTCAAACCAGACAAGGGGAAAACGGAACTTTAAGGACTTTTCATAGGAATATGTAGACTACGGAAATTTGTGATAGAAAGAAGAACAAACAGATGGATGAGATTGCCTGGGTCTGTCTATTTTTTCCTTCAATCAGATAAACCCAACCGACTGTCGTAAGTAAACTTGCAATTTCAATCAACTTAACTATTTCAAATTGAGATTCAGATTTTTTTTTAAATTATGCATACTTATAACCTGCAGGGGTGTCTATTAGATTATGAATTATCAAAATAACTTCTTTAATAAGAATGAATAAATACCATAAGATTTAAGATTGTTCATGGTGTATTGTTTGACTTATTTATATTTTTTACTGTACATATTTTTATGGAAAATGTTTGCCTTGTTTTGTTCCTTCAATCAATAATATGAAACTTTGACACTTATTGAACAAAACAAAACAAAAACAAAACAAACAAACAACCAAAAACAAATAATAATTATAAATAATTTACATTTTTTAATGCAATACACACACAAGGGTGTATATCTGGTCTGGCACTGAAGATTGTTTATTCCTAAACTTTACTGTGAGTGACAGACAATTGTCCGACAGCAATTTCCTCGATAAACACTTCAATTGTTCGATTTCGTTTCACGTTTCAGACATTTCATGAGACCCATAGAACTACCGCCATTTAATATCTAATTATTCTGAGGCTAACATTAAAGATTTATCCAGACCTAAGCAAACGAGAAAATATCTACAGTGGTTCAAAACCGACTTGTTTTACCTGCTTTTAAATAAAATAAACATCGAGATATGGAATGGTATTGTAATTCAACGTTTTGAAAGAGGCATGCTAAAATTTTGTCCATTTACCAAAATAGGCCTGGAATTCGAAAAGAACATTCGGAGATTCCCAAGTGCCCCTGTTTAATAAAGAATAATTTCATTCTTGTGTTATTTTTTTTTTGATATGGAAGTTATTATAATTTTTAGAATTGCGGTAGTTTTACTGTAAACACCTATCAAACCTGAACAATTGCCATGCCATATGCAATGTTCCTATACCTACAATCAGACAATTATGGATTTAAAAAAAAATGTACAGATCTTTTAGGGTAACCCCCTCATAACGAAATGATAAGCTAAATAAAGAAATAGTTTTCCTGTAAACATCTACCAAACTTGAAAAAATATTACCATGCCATCATAATGTTCCATTACCTACATATACATATATCTCCCAAATTATGAATTAAAAAAAAATGTATATAACTTTTAGAGTAATCCCGCTTGTAACGAAAGGATAAGCTGACAAACAGACAGGCACAGGCTTAGACAAAACACAAGAAAAATAAACAACTTTGAAACAAATAACCATCGAAAATAATTTATAGGATCAATTTTTCCTTTTTGTTTGTTTGTTTTTGTTGTTTTTTTTTTTAACTTTTCAGAGACAATATGTTTGCAGTAATTCAGTATTTTCGTACTTGATTTTTTTCCCCTGTTATTATTAAATAAAAAAAGTTTTCTTGTGCTATTTTTTTCCTAAACTCAAAAAAAAAAAAAAAAAAAAAAAAAAAAAAAAAAAAATCAGAAAAATTAGTCAGAAATAATTCATATCTTTTATATCATGATTTTTCTTAATCTTAATTTTTGTCAGTCAAGTGGGATGAAGTTTTTACGTTGAGTTAAAAAATAATAAAAAAAAAATAATAAAATAATCTTGTCTGGAAACTTCAATAATGAAAACAGCGTGACGTCATATATTCATGATTAAATGAAAATGAGGCGAACTAAATACATAAAATGACCACAAAGCGCATATTAGTTTACAGACTTCTAACAAATATCGATAGAAAATGAGCGTTCAAGTACACTCTATTGGCTCTCTAATGCACCCATAAACCACTCAAAGAACCCGGGTATAAATTACTTATTCGTCAATGAAAGGAAGATGAAAACACCGGTAAATATGTATTTTATTACCAACTGAGCGGCCGGAGCACTTAGCCCCTCTTCTACCACATTTGGGTCCTTGACATTCGCATGGCAGTCATAATTTGTCCTCGATGTACACTTTACATTGATTTGTATGGTGAACAATCGGATAAACCCCCCATGTGTCACTCGAATGAACTTTGAATTTTTTTTTAAGACGATTAATAAGGGCATTTTATTGAAATCGTCCGGCAAGAGAATGATTTTTTGGCAGCAGGTTTTACATTTGACCCAGTTTGAAATCATCTGATTTAATCGTAGACGAGATTAAATGTTATAAAAACCGCATTTCTGTTGGAATTGAAACGTAAGAAAATTGGGCTTCAATACATGGATTCTTTTATTTTTCTTAAATAATAACAAGAATAATTGCAGAAATGATTTTTTTTGCAATAAAAAAGATAAGCTTAGGTCTTCAAAGAATAGAAAGAACAAGACATTCAACTATCATACACCAGTAATCACATTGGAGGAGCAGATCTAGATCTTCCAAAAGAACTAACCATGTTAAAATATATATTTTATAATTATTTGGTAATTTTTATGATTAAAACAAAATATAATTAAGATTAAGACTTTTGTGTCTGTTTTTTCATTAAAGTAAATCTTCATGGTTTTGTTCTTTCTCCATCTCAAAATCCTATACCCACCTCTGCATTTGATAATTTAAGACTCGGTCACAAATTTCATTCAGATGACGGAACTTGTGGAAAAAGTTCCTGTTAAGGAAACAGATGACGAAGATGAAAGACGAGGGAGTAACGTCTCAATGGATTCCTTCACCTCCAGCAGTAAACTGAGGCCCTCCCTACGAGGAAGTGCCAAATTCAAAAGAATCTCCTCCGCTGCCAATAGCAGCAGTTCCATGGAGGACAAAATGCTGGCATTGAATGCCTTGCTGTCAGACAGTTTACTTATTACTGAGTTTCGAAATGGTGAAGGCAGCAGACACAGTAAATCGGACGCAGATGATGATGATACGTTGAAAGATGAGTTTGGAGATGATGTGAGCGACGATGACTTCGAGGAACTTCCGGAAGATGGACGAGTCTCCAAGGATGACTATGACACTGATCTAGATATGGACTATGACGGTACCTTTGTATTTTGTTTACTGTTTGTATTTATTCATAAATACTATAGTGAAGATTTCAAAGTATTACTAAACAGCTATTTTCAAAACAATTGAAGGAAAAGTATTGCATATTTAGAATATTCACAGGTGTGCCTATAAATACAAACACAGTTAACACGTGGGTAATAAGAAAATAAATTCAAAAATGACATACATGTAGTATGAAAAAATGTGTAATTTTGATTTACAGAATGGATTAACGAGGAAAAGAGAGAAATTGAGAATGACAAAACAGGAGAAAAGAAATACCTCCACATCTGTGAGGAGACGGGGGTCATCCCTGCGTCCTATTTCCTCAATAACATCCAGGAGAAAGAATTTACCATGAAGTATCACGGATTGGGTCCAAATGGTGCTAAGGCCATTGCTTGGCCTCTAAAGGTTTAATTTACGTCGTCATTACATGTAGGGTTCACTGCTTTGAAAAATAGAAATAAAGATATAGTTTCTAAAAAGTACACTTAAAGAATTTTACTTTTAAATTTTGGAAGACTGTTTTCAACAATCATAAATTTTTTGAATAGAAATGATTTCTGTGTATTTATTTTTCAGACAAATAAAAAGATTGAGAAAATAAACCTTGAAGGCAATTGGATAGAAGCCGAGGGGTCCATATACCTGGCGAAAATGTTGAAAAACAATATTTATGTAACAGAATTGGTAAGGCAGTCGAAGTCCATCTTTATCCATACTTTGGATCTACCTAATTCATTTGTCTTTAAATGAAAAATTCACATATATTTTAGCACTTAGCTGAGAATAGAATAGGCAACGAGGGAGCAGAGGCAATAAGTGATATGCTACAGAAAAATGACATGATATATTCTCTAGATCTCTCGGGGAATAATATAGAGGACTATGGTGCTGAGAAAATATGTAGAATGCTATTGGTAAGATTGCATCATACTTATTTTTGAAACTTGAGCATAATTTGCTATGTTATTTGGTTTTGTATATGTTTCATCAATTTTATTATCAATATTGTTAGAAAAATTCCTCGATCAAACACTTGTACCTTGCCAATAATAACTTTGAGGAGAGGGCAGCAGGCTGGCTTCGGGAGGTGTTGATCACCAATGAAACATTGGAAACCGTAGATCTCAGCTGGAATCACCTGAGAACTAGAGGGGCCGTTGCTATAGCCGAGGGTGTGCAGGTAATTTTCATTATTTTCAAGTCCTGAAGTTGCGGATGGTACCTGAAGTCTTAAGCTGATGTTTGGTGGAGTTAAACCAATAAAGTCATGTAAAAGCAATAGTATAAAACAGCATTCAATTATGTCAATCAAAAATGTTGGTTTACACACTACAATATTTTTTTCTTGAAGAATTTATAGCTCACAACTGTTGAAAACTTGAAATTTACAGGAAAATTATGGTTTGAGAGTACTGAATCTAGCCATGAATGGCTTTGCGCAAGACGGAAGTGAGGCGATGGGAAAAGCCTTGAAGAATAACCGGACATTACTAGAGCTGGATCTCAGTCATAACCGGATCCCCGAGGCTGGGGCTGCAGCCATCAGTCAGGGTCTACAACATAATGACACTTTAAAGGTTCTCAGGGTAAGGGTCAGACAAGGAGCAAAGAAAAAGCGTGATTCTGTTTCATTCTCATTTTGGAATTTACTTGCTCTTGAGAAGATACATGTACTAAAACTTTGAAGTTGGTGATAATAAGTTTCTATGATTTTGTTATACATTGAAAAAAATCAATATGTAAAATTTTAATTCTAAACTTATATTTTTTTGAAAGATGGCTTCCAATCCTTTGGGAGGTGATGGCCCTCTTCAACTGCTGAATGTGATTTCTAACAACGACATGAGTGAGATTCGTGTCCTAGATCTAACTGTAAGCCTTTTCATTTTTACGTTTATGCCTATTTCTTTTAGTAGTTTAAATAGATATCATTTGATGGATTTTGTATTATTGTTGAGAAGATAAAGCAAGTCCGATAAAACGTGATATTTTTGACATTTACTTCATCTTTAAAATTAAAGTAGACACATATTTTTTCAAAACAAAAATAACTTTTAAGGAAAATATTGCAGCAAAATCAAATAATGAAATTTGTAAATAAAAAAAGTTAAAAAGCGTATTGATTAGCCTTATGATTTCAATATTCAGGATGTCTTGGTTACACCGGCTTTTAAGGAGTTACAAGAAACTTTAGAAAAGGAACGAATCCTAACGGTTCATTACGGTAACATAGTGGGTGAAGTGTTCGACTTCAGCTCAATCAGATATGATGATCCATTCTGCGAATTCCGTCGTGATCCAATGGCACTACTCATTGAATACTGTAAAGATGCTGGATATAGACTGGTGGACCTATTCAATGATTTTGATAGGGATGGGAACCAATTGATCTCCAAAGAAGAGTTTATCATGGGGATCAAAGTACGAAATTTTAACCTATGACCTTACTTGTCACCATGGATTGCTTTTTTTGTGGATTTTTTAAATAGTTCTTTAAAATATTATCTTGTTATCATATGAATATGTATTTCAGAAAGCTGGTGTTAAGATAAGTATTCGACAACTAGAAATTTTGATGGAGGGATTGGACATAAACAAAGATGGCTCCATCGAGTACAGGTACATATAATCAGACCTGAATTTGAATGAACGTACACGTGTCGACATTAAGGAAATTTACTATTTCTAAATTGCAACAATTTTTTTCACAGTAATTTTATATCTAAGGAGTGTAATCTAACAAAGTGTGTGAACAATTTTTGTCAGCACATTCTGTTAAAATGGCGATGTAAAATGATTTAAAATAAAACTCATGACGTCAATGCGAATGTCCTGTTTACTTCTTTAATCAATGTTCAGAAAAGCAGCATAAATTAAATTGTAGTAACTTATTGTTTATGTAATTTTTTCTCTAGTGCTATATTAAATTTAGAAGAAGAAAAATGAGTAAGTTTGTTGCGTAGCACTGCAAGCAAATAAATTTAGCAATCTGCTAGAGAGCACCGGAAATAGATTATTAGCGGCGCACACACGACATAAATTTTTCATTTCTGCGCATTTCACGGCGAGCAGGCACAACAAAGCTTTTTGCCTAGGTGTTCTTAATAGATAATTTTAACCACGAAATACATTGACAAACTTCTTTAACAGAGTCATTCATGTAGCTTTTCTCTATAAATAGAAGCATGGCAGTAGGAAATGCATCTGTAGTCTTCTCTCTACTGAAAATTCTTATGTATACTTTTTTCTAGCAAATAAAATTTAATATGTATATACTATTCTCTCTGCATGAAATCTAGTGAGCTTTCGAGAGCAAAAGGTAATGTTTGATTCCGAGTTTGCTTTCCGTTAATATTCCTTGCGGTTGGGTTGCTTTGGAAGTAGCTTACAAATGCATGTAAATAATTTTGCATGGCTCTTATACGCTTGCTTCATTAAGTAAAAAACCCTTTCATATTAATTTTATGTTTCTTATCGGGCATAGATTTAATGCTTAATTTCTACGTATTACACAATTAGAGATTTACGGTTCTTGATTTAGTATGCTTCTTGTAGTGACATTATGGTGTCATATATAAAGTGCATGTTACTAGAAGTTTTTGTTTAGTACTAATACAAATGTCTAACCCTTTATTTGTGGATGTGTATGCAAACTAACTGTGTATTTTTCTTAGAAGTTTTGTTTTTAAAATTTTTGTTTTGTTTTCTTGTCTTTAATTTTTTTGACCGAATCATTTATTTAATGTTTATTAAAAATGTTTTTGTGATGAACCAGTATGTGTTGCAAGAAAACACTTTTGATAAAAAACAAGTGTTCCTGAATCCTTTTTTGTTCCCATAGTATTTATGCTTGTCGTGATGAAGTGATCAAAATTGATGAGAATAGAATATAATTCGAAGTCTTAAAACTGAGGGTATTTTCTTGCAAATGATTAAAAACAGTTTTGAGAAGTTCTGTCAACAACCTTAAAATCTGTTCAGTCACTTATCTTGCATTAATAAAAGTTAAACATTAATATTAATTAATTTGTTTTGTAGTGAACTGGTCATCGGAGAAAAGGAGCACACAAAAAAGAAAATGAAGCTGGCTGCGGAAGCAAAGAAATCTGGAAGAAATGTTTCCAGTACACAACTTATAGACGAGGACTATCTAAAGAGAATGATTAACGAAAATTATGCATAGACATAAAATTATCCTCTTGCTGGGAAGAACATTTTAGAAAAATCAATCATGTTTCAATGTTATTTCTTTTGTTCAATTCGTAAAACATGACTCAGTGGATGTCACATAAATAAATATTGTTGCACCTCTTAGCCACCAGCTTTGAGAATTTGGGACACATGCAAAATTTCATACAGAGCGATATCCAGTGTATGTTCAAGACCTGACCTTACTTTGTCATGCAAGTATTGGCTATTATGATCGGATTTAAAATTGAATCACAATGCTTAACCAAAAGATTTAGCAAGTTTACCAAGAGACATGATCTAAAGTACCTTAAGTTTCTCTTTTTGAAATGGCCAGACAGAATTAAATTCCTGTGTCCACACATTTGTGTTAAAACGAAAACAAAATTAAATGTAGGTATATGACTCAGCAGGGGATGCTCACTCCTCTATTGTACCTGATCTCACCCCTGACGTATTTTGTCCGTGTTTACTCTGCTTCCTATTTATTTTGTCCCAATGGACTTTCTGAGCTTGATTACTTCATATTTCACTGAGACACTTACAGACAGAATGAAGAAGAGGTGAGAATGAGGTAAGAAGATAGAGAAGTCAGTTCATGAGTTAACAAGCATTCTGAGAGTATTGCATTAGCAATACTAGTCCCCTACCGGCAAGTGTAATCTGGTTCCCGTTAAGAATTGAAAATACCATAATTCCGTCAAAAATTAATGAAGCGGGACGAAATGCAAACTTGATCTATAACTAATCAAGGTAAAGCCACATACCAAAAATCAGCTCAATATCTACAAGCGTTTAGAAGAAAATTGCGGAAAACACGTAAAAATTGAAAAGGCCGTAATCCCGTCAAAAATCAATAAAGCGGAACGAAATGCAAACTTGATCTGTAACTCATCAAGATACACACACATACCAAAAATCAGCTCAATATCTGCAAGCGTTTAGGAAAAAAGTGCGGAAAACACGTAAAAATTGAAAAGGCCGTAATTCCGTCAAAAATCAATGAAGCGGAACGAAATGCAAACTTGATCTGTAACTCATCAAGATACACACACATACCAAAAATCAGCTCAATATCTGCAAGCATTTAGGAAAAAAGTGCGGAAAACCAAGTGGGACAGACTGACAGACAGACAGAGCTACAGACAGACAGACGGACAGACAGAGGGACAGACAGACGGACAGACTCAGAGGAAACCTATAGTCCCCTTCGGTTTCACCGGTAGGGGACTAATTAAATACTGTAGATTCCTAAATAGACGCGAGGAATAAATTATCGCGTAATTACGCGAGAAGCACCACTCGCGAAATAAAATTACTCGCTTTTATTTTTATAGCGCTTTAATGTTTGTAAAATCTCTAGATAAATCAACGATTCGCGAATTTTTGTTCTCGCGATTTGACGCCCTTGGGCCATTTCGCGATATTAAGTACTCGCGTAAAATAAGGAATCTACAGTAGTTATTAATAACAAATATGAAGATCAAAGGTCCATTAAACAATACAAATTGTGAGCAAAAAAATACGGATCTCTTAAAAACATCTCTTAGAAGAATGATCAGGTGCCAGGGAAGAGTAAGCATCCCTAACTACCGGTCACAACTTGTCATGATCGGGCAAACGGAAAGCTCTATAGGCAATTAAGTGTGATGATCATGACCTAACAATTATATGAGTAACTGATATTAACAAAGATTACGTGAAAAATTTTCTAATGGTGAAGAGAACTTTAGAAAGTTAACGTTTCTTTGAGTCTGATAAACAGTGGAGGTTTCTAAAATACTTCACATAATAAACCCCGATCTTACAACGTAAAAAGTGAAGATAACGAACAGTGATCGATCTAAAAAATAATATACAAACAATGAAAATATGTGAAGAAGGCACAAAACACTGACCTTTGGAAGTTCCAGAGGTGGGAGCAGGTGTCTAGTAGGAGTAAGCATCAACTGTTGACCGGTCACAATACCTTTGTATTAATCAAGTAGACGGAACATTCCGTAGACAAATTTAGTATAAAAATAAAGGCCTAACAATGTGTATGAAACAAGTCAGCCAAATTCGACTAAATGGTTACATTTGCTAACAAAGTCATTGTAATGAACTGGTGACATAATTTCATAAATATAATGAATTCTGTGGAAGCTCAAAAGTCCATTAAACATTACAAAATAGGAGCAAAGCAAACACGGACCTCCAAAACATCAGAGATGGGATCAGGCGCCATGGAGGAGTGAGCATCCACTGCCGACCGGTCACACCCGCCGTGTGCTCCTTGTCATGACCGGGAAATAACGGAGAAATCCGTCGACAATTCAGTGTGTAAATAATGGCCTAGCAATTAGTATGAAAAACGTCAGTCAGCATTTAACTCAATGATAAATTGTATTTGCTGACAAGGTCATTGTATCGACCATAGAACTTACGAAATGATGACTTTAAACGAGACTGTTGATGTTCTTGTTTCATCAACTTGTTTGTCAATAATTTTCCTCGTTTAGAAATTGTACATACGTAGAGCATGCTCTTGCGTATCGAATCAACTGAGAGATATAAACCCCGTATGCAGGTGATGAAGGTATATTGCTGCATAAGTAAGGGAAGTTGACGATTGAAAAGTTAAAGTCATCACGTTTATCATAAAGCTTAGTTGTTAGATTACCATTAACGTCTTTTTCAAGTAAAATATCCAAATATGAAACAGATGTGTCAGACTCTGTGGTATCTTTTATCTCAAACTCACCGGGATATATCGTATCGACATAAGAATGGAAATAACCATTGTAAATTGACAATACGTTGTCGATATATCTAAATGTCGAATTGAAGGCCACAGCAAGTGTTTTCTTCTTTTCACGTATAAGATTTTGGACAAATTCTGCTTCATGAATACAAAAAAGGTCTGCTAATAACGGGGGCGCAATTGGTACCCATGGAAATTCCAGTAGATTGTTTGAAGACCTGGTCTCCAAAAACCACATAGATATTGTCAATCAGAAACTCAAGCAACTTTTTAATGTCAAAGTACTTGTGTATACAATCAGAATGTTTTTTAACAAAATAATTTTGCAATGACCAATGACAAGGTAAGTAAATTTACGAGTAACATTTTTATTGAAACGCAGCTGTCAATGATATCAAAAAGCCTGGAATTTAATTTATCGTTGGGAATGGTTGTTTATAAAGTTGAAAAGTCGTAAGTTTTTAAGCTGTTGATTTTGGTAAATCTTGTGATTTCAAATTTTCCAAAAGTTCCTTGGAATTTTTAAGTATCCACATCTGATTTACACCACTTCTCGAATATATTGTTGCACAGTACTCTTGAAATTTCTCCTTCACTACTGTTAATATCTTAGTGAGGAGTAAAGAAAATGGCTTGGTTGAACATTTACTGGAACCCGCTATGTATCTTTGTTTGTAAGGATTTTTATGAAGTTTCGGAATCCAATATAGATATGGTAATTCAATTCATTTTGGTTGTTTGGAATATTAAAAATATCCAAAACTGACATATGATTTTGAAGAATTTCTTCCTTAGAAAGGGAACTATGAGTATAAGTTGGATTACCACTTGTAGAATTAAATCCAAGTTCCTCTAAAATACATTTAATATAATGAGTATCAGATGGATATTAAAATCTCGCATTAAGCGACTGAGGGACAATATATTATAAAAACTATCTATATCCTTAGGTGTTGAATAGAAAAAAGAATTGGATTGATAACACGATAAGTGTACTGGTCCAGCTCACAAAGCAGGTAACAACATTGCTCATCATTTAAATTGTATTTCAGAGGAACTGAGATTTAATTCTGCAAGTAGAAATTCTGTTATTCACTGCAAAATGATGGTGGTAAGTGATGAGATACACATTGTGTGTAAGTGCTCTGAAAAATTATTGTAGAAATGATTACTTTTATTTTTAAATTTGCATATTCTACCTATTGTACGAAGGTTGTTAAGAAAGTTCGTAGACTATGCCAATCTTTGTTATACTATCTTCAAGAAATTTAAAATGAGCGCATTATCATGTGTAAAAATATTTATTTTGTTTAAGTGTGAAGTTTCATTCCATGTGCTTTGATAGAATTCAAGTTATTTAATTTTAAAATCAACACGTTTTGTAACCACGGAGCAAACTCAACAACACTGTAACGTCAAAACATACCGGTAGGTAGACATTAAGTTCTCAAAAATACTTTCCCTATACATTTCACACAATATTGCCCAATAATAATGAATACCAATGCATTCATTAAAAACGTTTCTCTATCACTTGAAATCTAGCTTGCTAACAATTGTCACAGTAGCATTATTTTGTATGTCAATGTTATATATTTTTCACTGCATAAGTGTGCTTTCACAAGATCAGCATCTGTGAAGCGCCAAACTCTGAGCATGACGTTTTTGAGAAGATTTTTACAGATACATGTAATCCGTTTTGTCAGAGATCACCATCATCTAAGCAGAGTAGTCTATCATTAAAATACCGCTTGTACCATGTACACACACATGCATGGCTCGTTTTTGACATATTTCCTTCTTCTTACGGCATTTTCAGAGTTTTTTTAATGAACTTTTCCAGAGTACAACACAAATTTAAACTGTATGGTTAACTACTGCTCTTGACGTTCTACGACGTCATCTTTTTTGGCTTTTTCAATGAGGAACACTTATCTTCTGAAATTGATTTCTTTTCAACGAAGCAAAATATTAAGTCATAATTTGGAATTAGAAGAGATGAAACAATTCTTAATTTGAACGTGTAGAATTTTTCCGATTTTGTTTCATTTTACAGAAGATATGACCTCAGACATTATTTAGTGTCTTGATTGTAAATTACGAAATTTTGACCTGCTCCGTGATCAGATTTTCGCATTTTATAAGTCTAAATAAGTTTGAAATAAAGCATGATATTTTATAAAATATTAATACACATCATTTAAATTTACTGTTGAAATATTTCTTCCAAATATGGATATAATATGACGTTAAGTAAAAAAGTTATGACGGTAGTCCACGAACTTTCCGAACAACCCTCGTACATATACATGTATACTAGTATATAAAAGCTTAATCCAT